GCCTTTTTTTCTTTCTTTGCAAGTTAGGGCTTAAATGAAAGACAAGCAAATCAATGAAGAAAATTTCCAACAATTCCATCTTGACTCTGATCTGGCCCTTTTTTTACTATTTTTATTTTGGTATAATATACATCATTCTAATATGGAAGAAAACCATTTCTTTTGGAGAAAAAAAAAATCAGTTGTGATACTGTCCCATATGTGCATTATAGTGCAGAAAGACTAATATGCAATTGGTTTCCCTAGATTTTTGGGAACAGAACTCATGATGACTCTATGGAGTTCATCCATTTGGAGAAAGCCAGCATAAAATCCCGTTTTATTTCTGAATGAAGTGGTTTAGCTTTTAGAAGAATATACTGGACATAAGAGTTGTGCTGGCTTTTCACACAGGCATTAATTTTATCCTGGTGTCGTCCCAATCAGAAAACAGAAGCTACTCCTGCTGATGTTATCGAGAACCTGGCTTGCTGAATTTAGTAGGTCTGGGACTGTAATCCTGTTTGCCAAGCTTCTCTAAACAAGTTTTCCTTTCCGAAGTTTCCAGTGAGTTACTGTAGATCGTCCAAGTTATATTCTAATAACGTCCCTTCAGCACATATACATGGTTTCACTAAGCATTCCTGTCCTCTGAGACAGGACTGTCTCTATTGAATTTACAATCCAGGGTTTTAAATGAATCTTTTAGTTTTATGTCAAAACCATCAAGAGCATTTTATAGGGAAAAATGAATCCTAGGAGTAAAACAAAACGCATTATTTATCACAAGGGATGCCAACATTTTCACCAAATGATTACATCTGTTTCAGAAAGGAAAAGTAGATGGAACAGTAATTGATGTCTGCCTCTGGTGGTTTAAAAACATCCTAAAACTAGTCACACTAGTCATTAAAGAACTGACAGCATTAAGAAAATCAATATCAAACCATTGAACAACATCTAAGAGAAATCTTTCCACACTTTCGGTAGATATGAACAAAGCAAAATAAGAAAGCCAATAGTCTTTGTTTTCATCTGCTTGAATGTTTGGCTGTTTTCAGCAGAATGTGTTAATGAACATTGGAAAGGTGCACATTAACATATTTGATAGAAGGTAAAATGCAATGAGGGGATTTAATCAAAGCAATGAAGGAGTCTAATTAATGCAATCAGCATTAGGTCGTGCAAATATTTTCATTGAATGCCATCTTGTAAAGCCAGTGACGTGCAGGATTTTTGCTACTTAACACTATGCTGATGCCTCTACATGCTAGGATGAACAGACATAGCTGGGTAAAAAAGGCTACGTTCATAGCTATCTTCTCAGAATCCTTTAAACATAGGAAAACAAATTAAGTTTTAAAAAAAAACTGAAAATTAAATCTGTTGATAATTATGTTACGTGAAGATATGTTTTCTCCTGTCATTTTTAACTTGATTTTAGTTTTCTTTTAAGGTGTTTTAAAAATATTACAGATACGTACTCTAAAGCATTTATGTATCTGTTTATTTTATAGCTCTGTATGCTATAGCTTATAATTTATAGAAGAGTCTTTCCCACACTATTTAAGAAAGCAACCTGCCTAGTAATAACTTGCCCTTTATCTCTAGAAAACATCAAATAACAGGGTGTTTTTTTAAATAAAAATATTTAGGAGCAGAAGATTTGCATTCCTACATTCCTTAGGCACCACTTTCTAAAATGATGGCATGAATTACAATTGAATTTAAATGAAGTATTTGAATATTAAATAAAATAAGTTGAGCTAAATATCTGCTCTTCCATCATAATGCAAATATCGCAAGGCAGTATCTATCCCATTTTATAAAAAAACGGTTCTTTGGTATACCTTAAGTCCTTTTGTGGGTAGCAAGTTCATTTTTAGCTACCAAGAACTCAGTCCTACAGGATGCTAAGCACCTTTATTGCTGCTGGCTTCAGCAAATACAGAAAGGCCTGGACACTCTGCAGGAATCCCCGGAAAACAGAGTTGTGAAACTACATTGCAATTGCTTCAAAAGTGTCCATAGCTGTCCATAGTGTCCTATGGCAACGAAATTAACTCTTGCAAAATTTCAATGAAGGTGAGAGCACCCGCTTTTAGTTTATTCTGTGGCAGCGGTGACTTGAAGAGCTCAAAGTCAAGCTGGGATTTGTCACTAGATCCTTTCTAGAATGGGTTTAACGTGCTTCTTGCATATAAGCACCTGATAATTATTATGGGTTTATCACATTGTTATAAGAAAGCCATCAAAAATATCTCTCTGGACTAACCCCACTAGTCAGGTGTATGTATGCTTGAATAAATAACTTCTCTTTTTCGTTAATGGTTTGAAAAAGAAGATTAAAAAACTCAGCATCTTTTCAAATGGACTCAGAAAACTTTTTTTTCATTTTTCCTAGCAAGTATTGAAAAGAAAAGAAAATTCAATTCTAGACTAAAAAAGAAAAAAGTTGGACGAAAATTGTCATTTCCATTTTTTTAGCTTGACTTCGTTAATCCTAAATTTTGGCAATTTTTAAAAGAAATATCTCATCTTTAAATGAAAAATTGAGCTATTTATTTTTATATATATCAGAATTAAAACTCTGACATTTTCATTTTGGCCTTGTTTTTTTGACTGATAGCGTTCTTTGAATTCAGTCAAAATATACATTTCAATCAGCTGGGATCCCATCATTTCTTAGTACCAATTTAACCCTCAAAATAACCAAGTCTCCTTATAGCTATATGTTTTAGTCATTTGACTCAAGTTATGCATTCACTTCAGTTACTGATGTGGCTGCAATTCACAGAGATTTAGCTAAGTTAAGCAAGACTGTTCTGGTAGCTCTGTCAGCGCAGTCTGCAGCAGCAGATAACTCGGCATGTGGTGTAAGACCCACTCAAAATGTGGAGTACTTGGCAGGGAGCCCCACAGCTGAGCTCCAGCCGTTACTCTGCCTCTTCAGTGCTAATAAAAACTGAGAAAGCTGGTTTGCACACACCTATATTTGCTGCCATCACAGTCACTGCAGACTGTGGTGCAGTCACTGCATATGTACGTTTAGACCTGGTAGTTGAGTTTAATAATGTATATATCTCTTTATATAGTTATTTTATTTTTATTTTATTTTAATTAAGCTGGTAGGTTTTTAGTAGCTTAATAACTTAGTAAACGTCCCCACATCCTGAGCACCTCTATTCTACATCACATCCCACTGCTTCACAAGATGGCTTCAATGACCAGTCCCACTCACCATTGTAGTTTCTGCTATTGAACCAAAGCTGTTGATAAATATGTTGCAGGTAACATTTACAGGAGGACCTGCAAGTTGAACAATAAATAGAAAAATTGACAGGTTGTGTTCATGACATATATTAAGTATTGTCGTTCTCTTGCCAAGGGCATCATAGCACTTACCATTGTGGTTTCTGTGACTGATCCAAAACTGTTGATAAAAATATTGCAAGTAACGTTTACTGGAGGACCTGTGGAATGCAATAAAAATGTTGCAATATACATTGAAACAAAAGTACAGATCCCTCAGCCTCCGTACAATCTGATACAGATGTGGCTGAAAACAAGTAGAAAGTGAGTTTTCCCAAACAGATCATGTAAATATCGATCAAAAGAAAAACATTATCCACACTAATTTAATTAACCTAGTTTCATTGGAAGTTGTTACAGAAATACACAGAACTACATCCTTGCATTAAGGATTTATGAGAAGGGTTGGATGAGGGCATGGGTATAACAGCTTTTTCTTTATCCGCAGTACCAACGCAGAATATGTTTTAGCATTGCAACCACTCCTCTCTCCCTTCCATCTCAGACTTAAAATTAAAAGATTATCTCTCCTATCACACCTATTCCGCTATGTATGCAAAGGCTTGCCACTGAAATTCCCAGTAAGCAAGGGTCACTTTTCACATTGACTCCAGTCCACTGAAAATGGACTTATACAAGCAGCTCTTTGTGCACCTGATCTGGAGATGTCTGCCTTGCCATAAACAAATATTTTAGCAATATCTTTTCTGGCTTGACACAGCTTTCACTAAACAGCTATTCGTAATCTCTTCCCTCCCACCTCCTTTCCTGTTATTCAGCAGCCACTGACGTGTAGCCGAATGAATGGGGACTTAATATTTAATTAGTTGTCTATTAGCCTCCTAGTTTTTTCAGGTGTGACGAAATAAACAGGGGTTCTCAACTGAATCAAAAAGGATTAATGCTAAATGCCTGAATTTCAGTGACACAAAAGTTGATATAAGCACTGAGTATCAAGTACTTTCTTCTCTCTTTTCTCATTATTATTTTCAATCACAAAATTTTCCTTATATTACAAAAGATCATGTCAGTGCACAGAATATGAATACCTACATTTGGTTTCATATTTAGATCTGAGATTGCTTTACAAAAGATGGAAACATTATTACTTTATTTTCTGAAAAATGCAAAGATAAAGTAACGTGAAACGCCCAGTGAAACCCAGTACAGTATCAGCTTCCTGAGTGCTAGACCACCCACCTCCGAGGAAACAAACATTTTGGTTTTGGGAAGAAAAACCACAACAGTAATGTGTTTTGAGGCTCTTAAATTCCAGTGAAGTGTGTTGTTCAACCCAGTTTTTGTAACAACTCTTTTTAAAAAAACACTTCCTTTTTATGTTTTAAATATGTTTTCACTTTCAACGCCAAGCTAAAACAAGTCAAATAGTCTGCTATTCTCCCTCCATGGTATCATTTTTTTCCTTTTTACTTGATATTTCTACTAGCTGGGCAGCTTGACCAACATATTTCTCTACATCTAAACAAACAGAATCACTGAATCATTGAAGTTGGAAGGAACCTCTGGAGATCACCCAGTCCCCCTCGTCCATCTAGTTCTAGAGCAGGGTCAGCTAGAGCAAGTTGCTCAGGACCATGCCCCATCAGGTTTTGTATATCTCCAGGGATGGAGACTCCACAGCTTCTCTGGGCAACCTGTGCCAGTGCTCAGTCACCCTCACAGTAAAAGGTTTATCTTATGTTTAAGTGGAACTTCCTGTGTTTCAGTTTGTGCCCATTGCCTCTTGTCCTGTAACTGGGCACCACTGAGAAGAATCTGGCTCCATCTTCTTTACTTACCCCCATAAGTTTTTTATGCACATGGATAAGATCCCCCTTGTCCAGGCTGAGCGGCCTCAGCAATCTCAGCCTCTTCTTGTATGACAGATCCTCCAGTAATTTAATCACCTTTGTGACCCTTTGCTGGGTCCATACCAGTAAGTCCATGTCTCTCTCGTACTGGGGAGACCAGAGCTGGACCCAGCACTCCAGATGTGTCTCACCAGTTCTGAGCAGAGTGAAGGATCCCCTCCCTCAGCCTGCTGGCAATGCTCTGTCTAATGCGGCCCAGGAGGCTATTGGCCTTCTTTGCCACAAGGGCACATTGCTAGCTCATGTTCAACTTGGTGTCCACCAGGACCACCGTGGCCTTTACTGCAAAGCTACATTCCAGCTGGTCATCTCCCAGATTGTTCCTCCCCAGGTGCAGGACTGCATGTCCCCTTGCTGAACATCGTGAGGCTCCTGTTGGCCCATTTCTGCAGCCTATCCAGGTCCCTCTGAATGGCAACAAATCCCTCTGGGGCATCAACCATTCCTCCCAGTCTTGTATCTCCTGCAAACTTGTTGAGGATGCACTCTGTCCCATCATCCAGGTAATTAATGAAGATGTTAAACAGTATTGGCCCATTATTGACCCCTGCAGTACACCAGTAGTGACTGGCCTCCAGCTGGACTTCATATTGCTGATCGCAAACCTTGCAGCATGGCAATTCAGCCAGGTTTCCATGCACCTCACTGTCCATTTAGCTAGCCTGTTCCAATAATTTGTCTATGAGGATGTTGTGAGAGACAGTGCTAAAAGCCTTGCTAAAGTTGAGCTAAACAATATCCACTGCTCTCCCCTCATCCATGAAGCCAGTCAAGTCATTGTAGAAGGCTATTAGCATGGTCAGGAATGATTTCCCCTTCATAAATCCATGCTGACTACCCCCAGCCATCTTCCTGTCCTTCATATCTGGAAATGGCTTCAAGGAGGCTTTGATCCAGGCTTTGAGGTAAGGCTGGCCAGCCTGTAGTTCCTGGATCCTCCTCCTTGTCCTTCTTGAAGATAGGAATGACATTTTTTTTCCCGTGATGAGGAACCTCCTCCAGTTGCCATGACCTTTCGAAGATAATTAAGAATGGCCTCACAGTGCCATCAGCCAGCTCCCTCGGTACTTGTGGGTGCTACTTATGTGGTCCCATGGACTTGTCTGTGTCCAGTTAGTCTAAATGCTCTGTAGCCTGATTCTTCTCCACTGAGTTTTCCTTGATCTGAACTTTGCCACAGGTCTCAGGGGCATGGGATTCCTGAAGACCAGTCTTATCAGCAAAGACTGAGGTGAAGGAGGCATTGGGTGCCTTGGCATTTTCCCATGCTCTTTGCCAACTTTTCTTCAATCTCATGGTGTTGTCTTGCAAAAGCTGCCATATGTGAGCACCACAGCTTTCAGTTCCTGAGTGCCAGCAGAACCTAGTAAACATGCTTACCTATTTTAGGAAATACACTACCACACCACAGGCTGCAATTCAGATGTGCACTAAGTAGGTACATGCTAGAGCACTGTATCTTACAACAAAGCAAACATCTCCCTCCATTTCTCTACTCAATAGTATAACATCTTTTACTTGCCTTCTGCGGGTAGACATGGAATAGTATAAGATCTCAGTAAACATAAGTACTGCCAGCAAAATCTGTCACGTTCTCTTCATCCTCAGTTTTCTGGAAAGAGCTTTATGGTGAGATATCACCAATTCAATTTTTTTCTGATAATTTAGATTTGTTTATAAACATCAAAAGTGTAATGCAAGATTTGCAACCAAATCAGAATGGAAGATAATTAACAGAGGATCTTAAAAACTAACATTTGATCATATAACTTACAGATTCTAAGCTAAAAGTCCAACTTTCTCTCAAAGTCAATCTGTAAGTGATGGGGTTTCTAAATGTGCATAGGAAACACAAGCCAAATGAAGTAGATAAGAAAAAGGTAACTAGCTGAGCACTGAAGTTTGCAATGCTTTTATTCTTTTTTTATTGATCTTATTTTTCTATTGTTGATATTATTCCAGTGGGGAGGGGGTGTATAGGTGTTGTACATCTTAAGGAAGAAGTGCACTTTAAAGAGAGCACACAACGTCACTTTTTCCAATGAAGCATTTCACACACTCCATCCTATAAGATTTTTCTAATCTAATAGTTCATTTAAACTGAAAGCAGTAAACTTCTATGAAGTATAGCCAAAGTTTGAGAACATAATCTAAAACTCTTCAAAGGCAATGGAAACATTTAATTTGACTTTACTACCTAAAATCTAAAAAGAGTTGACATTACCTGTAAAAAATTAAGCAAAGTATACTTTATAATGAAATCCTCTTTTCCCCTTAGTTTTCTTTTTGTCACCTCCAATGCAACAAGGTAACAGTCCAGGTGCTTTTCAGGCAAATTCAAGATAATCAAAGTGATTTTTGAGTCATAAGGAAAATGTCTGTCCTCTGAAAGGACTCAGGAAAAAAAAAAAGAAAAACCCAAACCTAAAACAGGTAGCTAATGCTCAAATCCACCAGAAAGTAGATGTCTTGTATTCTGACAAACAGCTAAGATACCGCTTCTGTTCCCTGCAGCTCCTTCCCCCCTGCTTCCCAGGGGGCACTGCTGCTACTGCCAGCTGATGGGATTCTCCAATACACTGTCTTTTTGAAAAGCCCTGACATTATAATGTCTCATACACCTCCCGTGACTTCAGGGCACTTAGCACTTACAGAAAGTCCTAAGAACTCATCTGCTCACCTTACCCACGAGAAACCCTAAAGATACTGGATATTCCCCTGAATCTGCTGTGGCATATTGCCTCCTAGCTCCTGTACCAAAGCTGGCTGTGATTTTGCCACCGTCTGGCTAGACAGTGAATACTTTCCTTGTCAGCTCCCAGAGGGGGTGAATTCATCCCAACGCATGGGGAAGTCCCCATGTTGAGTGGCGAGTGCTGAAAGACGTACGCTGAGCTCCGTTCAGCTGCTAACTGCAGCTTTTGCTTAATATTCTTCAGTATTGATAACACACGGCCCCAAAGCTTCCTTCATTTGGTAGGTTCTTTAGAAGACTTACTTGCAGTCTTGCCCTGGAGATCATCCTAACTGCAACTAATCATACCTGTATTCTCATGTCCATCCCAACTCTGCCTTTTTGGTGTACAGTTTCCAGGCTGCATCTGGCAGCCTTTTTTCCTTCAGCCATATAGCTAAAATGTCCTTAGTGGGAATATTATAATCATACAAGAGATTTAAAATGATACCTGTGCACTTGCCAATTTTCTTTGATATGTGTATTTATTAAGGGATTTTGTAAGGCAAACTAAAATACAGTACAAATGCACACAGAGAACTGTGGGAAAAGCAGA